ACCAGGTCTCCACCCGGGTGCACAGGAGTCTGTTGACCATTGTGGGTCTTAGCTCGCAGCTTCATTGCTGTTTTTCCCTCACTTCCCCTTATCGGTGACGAATGTGGTCACCAATCAGAGCACATCTCTGCTTGTGTATTCCCATTGAGTCTTAGTTTTTGGATGGGAATTTGCCCTGAGGGGACCTGACCACTTGCCTTGATGTCTCCTAGGCAAGCAATTTGTTTGTTCTTGTAGTAATCATTTGGACTGCTTTTACTGTTTTGTATTTTTCCTGCCAGTCCTTCTTTCAAGAAGTATCTTCTGTTCTTCTAGCCACTTCAGGCTGGTCTGCTTGTCCTTTCAAGTGGAAACTTCCCACCTCAAAAGATTCTGGATTCCACCTATGGTCTTATGTAATGCAGAGGCTCCACAGGAAGCCTCTTTCATTGGGCACGCTGTAGCCCCATTTTATGTATTCCAATCAGTTATCCGCAGAAGACGGACTTACAAGCTTTCTATGATGATATTTCTGGCTATTCCTTTCTCTCCCCCTCAACTGTCTATTTTATAATGGTATACCAAGGAAACTTAGATTCAAAAGACAGCCAAGCATCTTAACATTATTTCCCTGCTTTTGCCCATTCCAACCATGTCTCAATTTCTGTATTCCAGAGCCCTGTTGTTCAAAGGTTGTGCATACATCATTATTTACCTCTGTTCCGCTTAGTTCATGCAAACCTGCCTAATTATTTTTCCATCTGCCTTGTTCTTCCATTCCCCTCCCCCTTCATGTGTATTGCCTCCTCCCTAACACCCAAACTATCCTGTATCTATTCCCTACCCTGTGCTACACCTTCCCCTCCCTCTCCTCATCCCACGCCACCCTAATCCCAGCAACCAGCAAAGAATCACCTCCCCCTCTTTAGTATGGGTTTTTTTCCTTAGTTTTTTACAATAGTGGTCCTGTGCAGTATTTCTCCTTTTGCGACTGACCAATTTTACTCAACATAAGGTCCTCAAGGTTCATCCATGTTATGTGAAAGCTTACAGCTTCCTTGTTGTTCTTCAAGGAAGCATAATCCATTGTGTGTATGTACCACAGTTTGTTTCTCCATTCTTCCGCTGATGGGTACTTTGGCTGTCTCCATCTTTTTTGCTATTGCAAATAGTGCTTCTATGAACATTGGTATGCATATATCTACTTGTGTTATGGCTCATATTTCTTGTGGGTAAATACCAAGTAGAGGAATTGCTGGATCATAAGGTATTTCTATTTCCAACCTTCTGAAGAAATGCCAAATTGCTTTCCAGAGAGATTGGACCATTTTGCAATCCCACCAGGATTGCAGGAACGTCCCAGTCTTTCCACATCCTCACCAGTATTTATTGTTCTCTATTTTTTTTATCTTTGCTGTTATTGTTGGTGTGAGATGATATCTCATTGTTGTTTGATTTGCTCTCTCTAATGGCTAGTGATCGTGAACATTTCTTCATATGTTTGTTGGCTGCCCAGATCTCTTCTTTGGTGAAGTGTCTGTTCATGTCCTGTGCCCATTTTTTAATTGGGTTATTGGTCTTTTTCTTGTAGAGGTGTTGTATTTTAGAAATGAGTCCCTTGTCTGATGTATCGTTGCAAAATATTTTTTCCCATTCTGTGGGTTCCCTTTTTACTCTTCTGGTGAAGTCTTTTGATGCACAAAAGTTTTTAAGTTTTAGTATGTTCCAGTCATCTATTTTGTCCACGTTTGTTTGTGTAGTTTTCCAAAAAAATGTTTGGTAATCTGTGTATTCCCTGAATTAGTGCCCTCACATTTGTCCCTATTTTTTCATTGATGTCCTTCATAATTTTGGGATTCACATTTAGGTCTTTAATCCATGCTTAGTTCGTTTTTGTATAAAGTGTGAGGTGAAGGTCTTGTTTCAATCTTTTGCATATCATTTGCCAGTTCTGCCAGCACCATCTGTTGTAGAGACTATCATTTCCCCATGCAATATATTTAGGTACTTTGTCAAAAATCAGTTAGCTGTATGTGGATGGGTTAATTTATGGATTCACAATTCTATTCCATTTATCAATGTATCTTTCATTGTATCAGTACCAGGCTGTTTTGACCACTTTAGCCGTGTAATAAATTTTGAAGTTGGGGAGTGAGAGGTTTCCAACCTTATTCTTCTTAAGCAG